GAGTGGTAATATCATCATGTTAATTACACCCCCTGTGACATCCAGGGGACATAAAAAATGTCCGACTTCCTGTGGAAATGTAACTGCGATCACAGCCACACACACAAATTGTTTCCACGACTTCTTTCCATTGCCTAACAACAGGGGCATTACCGTGGCAACACACAAGACCTCCACGCCTACCGTTTGAATCATTGTCACTGCTTTGGATAACAGACAGAAAAAGCTTCAGTTTTTTTAAGTAGCCTGTAATTTGAAGATCATTTATAATATGTTGATCGTAACCGGACACGTTCATTAAAACTTCAATAACGTCAGGGCTACAGACATTAGTATTTATATCTCAATCTCTGTCACAGCCTTACGACACAGACCCGCTTCCATTACAGTCGGGTTCCGGATGTGATTTGATGCGATACTGGCCTATAATCTCGAAACTGTCCCGGGACACTAAACAATGATTACCCCCCTCCACCAAACTCCAAATAATGTATATAAGCACAGCTCACACAAAACAATGATTAAATTGATATAAAAATCTGACCAGCATTCCTAAAATTATACTAGATTATAACGTACCAATAACACTATACACAACAAAAGATTCCCATGAATTACAGGTCGGACATTTCCATATCCGACACTTACACGTTCCACATTTACATGTCCGACACTCCTAAAGTTAGAGAAGAGTGCCCCTAACCCCAAACTACTAGCGTGAGATGACATGCACATTTTTTCGTAATAACTCACATAATGATTCTAATTGCTTGAAAGCATACCTAAGGGAACTCTCCAATTTGATGTACCATGAATAAGCTCAACAGCAGGTCAGGTTACACTGGTTCTTAATCTTAACCCTTTCACCCCTATGTAACTTTAGTAGACTCTACCATGCATTGATATGGATGAGTCCATTATGGTCTACAGTGGTGAAAGGGTTAATAGTTTACAAAGGGGGGAGATCTTTTTGAAGTTTGAAGTTTTGAATTTAATTATAAAAATTAATGACATGATTATAAGAAATTAACACATTTCAAAAGACTAAAACCTTCAATTCTAAAATCTTGATCTCTTTTTAAAATCTTTATCAAAGATGAACTATTAGCAAGGTGATGGGGTCAATCCCGAAATTTGAAATCATTGAGACAAATTGTAGCGTTACTTAAATAAGAATTCATTTATCAATTTCTGTTTTTAGGTAGGGCCCAATTATTTGTGCTTCCTGGCAGTATTTTACACAGGGGCCTGATACCTCTGACATCAAATCATGTGGATTTGTTTCTAAAATGGTCCACTGGTGACACAGGGGCCGGATAACTCCGACAAAAATTTATGTAGATATTTTCTAAACTGGTCTAATAGTGACACAATGGGCCTGATACCTCTGGCATGTTAACTGTTTGCCTAGTCCATGCAACACATGAAAAAAAATGCTGATTTTTACTGAATTTTGCTGAGGATTTGCTGAACTGTTGCTGAGGGGCCTGACACACAGACTTCCCGACAAGAAACTACCAACAGATTTCTATTATTAGCTCAACATGACCAATAACCACCAAAATGTCCCGAGATATTATCTCCCACAAAGTAATTGGCCAAAACATGATGAACCATTGTTTATTTTACAATACAGAATTACACACAATTAGCTCAGCTATCTGACCAGGGGGTGGGGAACATCGTCCAGATACATCCCACACATATCCTCATACCTGTGAAAGTCACGGTGTAATTTTCAATAACCTGTGGTAAAGAGCTATTACAGTTGTTCGGTATGTGTGATTCACGCTCATTAACTAGTCACGCTCAAGGGATGGGGCGACCCCGGCACCGTTATACCTACTCATAGTCACCCAGACTTAATGGACTTACAAAAAGGAAATTTCAATATTTTAGGCCGTGCCCCCAAATTACATCATATTCCGGTATATACGTGTTTTAAATCCATATCCACTTTGCCGTTCCTCTGATCAATTTCCACAAACCTCATTCAACAAAATATCAGAGTCGCATAACATGACAAACAGGAATCAGAATATATTTTTTTAATATATTTATATAATATAAACACCCCCTCGGCAGATGGAGGTTAGCGATACAGAAAATTGTTGTAAAAATCCTGTCCGTACCAGGCAAAAAATTACCACAGGGAGACACTGCTAGGATTTCCTTACGAAATTTCAATTTGTTAATTTACTATAGGACACAATTTATAAATATTTAATGCCTCGAATGTACTGGATGACTTTTATTGATAAAAGTTTGCAGACACTCAAACTGGTGTCGGAATGATCTTGAGCTGATATGTGATGGTTGTAATAGATTAGGCGTAATAGCCACCTCCATATATTTCGTCCTCCTCATCAACACTTTCAAGGTGTAAACAGCTGACGCATTCCGCTTTATCTTCACGATCTGATAATTTTATGAACTTGTCAAAATTGATAAGAAGGAAAACAAAATGAATTCTCTCCAACGTCCAATGACATATGGTGTCTAGGAATGAGACAATAATTATGATTACAAAATCACAGGATTTCACTAAATTTTGTGTGAGATTTATAGGGAGGTAATGAAAAGATATTGATAACTCGGAAACATTTTAATAGCAAGAGTTGCCAATTTATTCAAATTCTTATTGAATTTTTTCCCCAAAAACCTATTAAAAATCAATCAATGCTTAGCAATATTGAATCGGACTGGTGGCAGACTACAGAAAGTGTTAAGACAATTCACATCAAGTTTTATCAGATTTTCGTTCATATGAAATCCACAAAAACTAGAAAACACATTTTGTCAGATAGAATGAAAAGTTTTGTAATTAAGTTAATTGGTTCCATTTAAGGAGGAGGGGGGGGGGGGGGGGGGGGGGAAGGTGACGCATATTTGAGGATTTTAGATGAGAAAATCTTGCTGGTTTTATCTTTGAACCCACAAGTTGGTCATTGAACTTTTTATTAAAGGGAAAATAATTTTTCGGAAAAAAAACACATAAAGTGCCCCCTGGTGGCAGTAATGATACTTTACAAACCAGTACCACCAGTTACCGTTCTCAACTACGCACAAAAAAATCCTTAAATCTCTTTTTTAGAATATATTAGACGTCATAAAGAAACGAGGCGAAAGACGAAGACATTGACCCATTTGGTCAAAGTTTACAAGATTTATTTCAAAAAATTACATGAGAAGACTGATACTTGAAACTTGACAAAATACTAATTTGAAAATTTCGGATTCAGTTTTGTATTGCTTGGCCGAGTTAAAGTAGTGAAGCCTTCTGCTAGCCCAGGACACATGATACATTTAACTATACAACCAAGCCGTTTACTGCCAGATTACCGAGAGATAAAAAATGTAGCATGCTAATTAAACCCGACATGTTGACTTGTCAGATTTCGAACTTTTAGAAGTTGATATTTAATGATTTAGTTAACTTTACATAAATTGGCTGAGATAAATTCCAGGTTTAGAAGTTGATATTTAATGGTTTTGTCTACTAACGGGCAGAAAAAGAACTTTTAGACATTGATGTTTTACCGTTTAGTTAGCGTACCGAGATAAATTGAAATCAAATTCCGCCGAGCTCTTCATTCGTAGGTAATAATACGGCTGGTTCGTCGGTAGAGTTACACCAAATGAAGTGCTGACATTATCCCGTTCAAAGTAACAAAACTTGTTAGAGTTACGTGAAAACATTACCGGATCTGATTCAGAAAGATAAGCTTCATGTTGGGTATCCGATAGGATAATTTCACATTGTGTCCGGATCGACAACAGTATAATATCTCCCGGTGGGTGGGTTTAGGGTCAGCCCACTCTCACCGAGTCAGTCATGCATGACTGCAGTTCTTAACATCCCGACACTAAACCACGGAGAAGTGCAAGTGTTTCCAATCCGACCCGGATATCTCACATTTGAAATCTTTTGTCTTTACGTTGGGTGTGAAATTGACAAAAAGACGACGGGAAATGAATCTACGTCATGACCCCAAATTCTGGTTTAGATGACACTGGGCGGACAGGAAAAAACACTGATTTCTGTCTCCATCCTAGATTTAAACAGATAAGTTACATCAAAATTCCCAAACTATTGAAAATAATACACAAATCCTCTGTCCAACCCTTTTGGGGTTTTTGCAGATTTTTTTCCCCAAAGTTTTTGAACGAGAATATCCAAGCTAATCTACCATCAGGAGTAAATATGAAAACAAATGGTTCGTGTAACCGTCCTGAAGTACAGAGACAAATATTTTGTATTTCTGATAATCGGCTGGATTTACAACCGAAGGTCAGAGAGTACAAGGAAGCATCCTTGCGTGTTCAACTACGTTCCAACTTCGGGAGATGACGGCATCAAAATCTGGTTTGCATTCGTTATTATGCCTTGAAGACACTAACAGGAAATCATAGTTGTATTATCTACTTTTTACAAACTGCATGCGTAAAGATCAATAAAAATGAAGCCGTGACTCAGAAACTTGAAAAAGTAATAGTAGTTCTCATGAAAAACCGTAATATAAATTGCAAAAAATCTACAATAAAATTTGGCTAAATCGACCTCAATTGACATCAAGGGGTTTTTATCTTGTTCCTGGTAGCATTTTTACCTCCAATTTGGATTTTTATGTACACTTGTCATCCACATAAACTGTGTCATTTCTGTAAAGAATTTCCGCAATTTCACTTTGAAAATCCTTAATAAGAACAAAACGCGAGCATGGATGATCTTCCTACATGTATTTCTCTCTGAAGACTGTTTTCTTTCTTGTAGATGAAAAGAAAGAGAGTATAAGTGATGGCCATGTTTTTTTTATTCGGCTGAAAGGGAAAGAGGAAGTGTATGTGTGGATGGCCCTATATAATCGTTTTTTAACTCATTCACCCCTGAAGACACATTTGAACTCTTCCAATTCAAAGGTTGGAATAGTCCATTATGAAACTTTAGGGGTAAATTAGTTCAGCTGAAAGGAAAAAGAGGAAACGTGCGAGTGTCTTACCTTGACAAAGGTACAGCAGAGCCGTGATATACAGAAGGTGGGCGTTCCTTACGCTCCCTCCCACCATCTTTACTTTGCCCGTGTCAGTCCGACTAGCATCCTGTCTCCGCCCTCAATTTCGTATCCTGAAGAAGATAAAAACCAAATTAAAATCCGCCTCAAGATTTTTACTCTGCAGGAAATTAAAAAAACAAAAGTACAAAATTTGTGATAAAGAAATTCATTCAATGTGTAATCATTTAACTCATTCACTCCTGAAGACACATTTGAACTCTTCCAATTCAAAGGTTGGAATAGTCCATTATGAAACTTCAGTGGTGATAGAGTTAAGTGTAGTAAGAGAATGGACTCTGTTACATTATAAACAAAATACAATAGTACTGTGTAAGTTCTGAATCAGAGATTCCTATCTCAGCAATAACAAAACTTGTATCTGGAATAAAAAAATATATAAAACAAATTAATTCTTTAAACTTAAAATGTTTTCCTATCTATAAGCAGGTTTGAACAAATTAGTTCACGTATTTACTTTAATCAGACGTTTTTATTATGACCTGACTTTACCACATGTAACAATGAGTCAATTATGGAGATTTCCCAGTCTGGGTTTTCAATGTTCCCCAATATCTGATAAGATGACCCAACATCAAAGACCGGGTGAAACCATTGAAAGAACAAAGGGTGCACAAGATTAGAAACAACATGTTTCGACTACAAATGTGTGGTGCTTTCCTGTGGAGCTGTTCACTCAAAAACAACAAAGTCGATGAGAATGGGAGTCAGATGGGGACCCTAGCAGGTACACAACAGTCAGGGTGAATGCTAAGCTTGTAAGTGTGTATAATTGGGTACATTCGTTACAAACGTACAATTGATCTTGATGAAATTATACTTAGTATATGGTACGTTTGTTCACAGCTATTATCAGCTTTTTGCAATTAAGTACTAAGCTTTGTGGGAGGAGTAGGTTTACCCCCTCCTACCCGCGGCTTTACGCTCACCAACCTCGAAAATCTGATTCAGTGCCATCGGTAATATCCCTGCTAAATGAATGTAATTCTATGCAGCCTTCGTACATCTCGCCCTCCATCACACCACAGACTCTCTCAGAATGTCGGGATGTGTGAAAATATTTGCATGAAAAGATTTCTTAATAAACACGTTTCTGTTCGGCGTTACAACTAATATGAACCATGCTGTTTCCCTTGCTTTCTATACTTTCACCACTGCGTTGATTTAGCCGAGATGCCACCAAACCAAATCCTTTTCACCAGAAACATGACAAGCTTCGGCCAGATCAGCTTCCGTCTCTCTTGGGCTTCATTTAGATGGTGATAAAACCGGCCAGCCGCCCACCGAGACTAATATCGGATGATTACTCTGACTTACAACATATCTCTATACATAAATATGTGTATGAATTAAGCTTTTGTTACATATAAAACAAGCCTGTCACACGCATGCAAATACACATGCTTTCCGTCAGAGCATCTGACATTAATTTCCGTTTTTCTCTGGGGAAAGAATGAATTTTTAATCAACTAATCAAAATGATAAATTCCTAATCTGCATACCACCCAAACGCCATGATGACAACCAATCAAAGGTATGAATAGACCACCGTTACCACGGTTTCCCTTGAAAGTACATCTTTGACACTTTTGTCACCATGGTTTCCCTGTTACCAATCTCTGTGGTAAAATTACCACCATGACCAGTTTCCATGAGTCTCTATTCAAATGTTACCAATTTTCATGGTAATTAATGCCTGTTTACCAAATTGAACAGTTTCCAGGCAACCACTCCTTACCACAATTACCACACTTTCCGTGGTACCACTCTTTACCACAGCTTAGTTACCACAGTTTTGCTGGAACCAACCTCTTCCCCACCACAAACACTCTCTCAATGAAACTTGCCTCTTTCAGTACAGAAACTTTATCAAGAACAATTTTTGGAAGGCAACATCGAGGCGAAAATTAATGTTTTCCTCTTTTTTTTTTAACAATTCCATAGACAATCAACAGATTTTTGCCAATTTGGGAGGCCCTGCAAGGTCTATTTATAGCACATACTTGACTATAATTGTGCGGGTATTCATATCACCAGAAAACTGAAGATATATTCATATTTCAATGTTCCCGGTAAGACACATAGATAAGAAAATTGAGTAGTTTGGCAGCAAAAATAGTACACCATATCTACACCAATTGAAATGAAATATTGAACGTGTCTGGAACAAAACAAAATTTTCAGTGAAATGGGAATGGATTCATTCCAGTATATATATAGCAGGGATGTAAATAGATTCTCCCTTCAGTATATATGTTTGTGATATTGGAAATGTCGTCCCGATAACATCAGTGGGACGGTGTCGGAGGCTGGTGTCAGAGGCTGACGTTAGTTCCTTGGGACAAATCGGAAGCCTGCCTCACACTGTACATTGGAGAGGTTCATATCTAGTTAGGTTCGCCCCTACTCCAGAGAACATCATTTTTTCCCATCAGGAACTTTGCGCTAAACTAATACTTCAAGATATGGATCAGAAAAGTACAATATTTTGTCACTGGTATCTGTAACCCACTCTTGCAGCCCTCCCCCCTCCCCACTCTCGCTCGCCCTCCCTCTGCCCTCCACACTCCTATCTCACGTGTAGATAGACATCTGTTGACATCACACTCTTTCCTCCTCCAAGTCCTTCTCCCCTCCCCTATATATATATACTTCCCTCCCTCCCTTCTTCCATCCCTCCGTGGTGTTTGACATGGCATTAGTATATGGTCGGACCCTCCCACTCTCCCTGCCCAGGAGATAATATATTTCATATATCCCCCTACCCTCCCACCATGTAATAAACATTTTGATCGCCCCCCCCNGCAGCCTCTAAACCGCCACTTCAAGATACACATCTCAATAGAGAGAGTACAAATTCAATATTTCTCCCCCACTTCATCAATGTCATGTAGTTTTTCTACTTGCTGATGTTTCTGCCTCTCTACCTCGCGAGATTATCTTGATAATCCTTAATCTGTACCGTACTCACTTTGTCCTCCGGGCCTCAAGTCGGCCTCAAGTCGCCATGTTTATAAAATAATTGAAAACACACTCCAAACAAACCATAAATATTGCTAAATATCCCAGATTTTAGCAGACCATTATCGGCACAGATTCTAGAATTTATAAACACACAATTTATTCTCTGCACCTGAGCTCCCTAAAGCTCTAGAGATTTGGAAACTGATAGATGGGAAGTCTTGAAATCGCATCTTCTCTGGTTTCAAACAACTTTCTCAACGTCAAAACAGGGCTTCTCCGTAATAAACCAAATGATTCTGGCTTCTGGTTTGAATTTCTACCAATTTTCTCAAGTCAAAATATTTAACTTTAAAATTTGTTTATAGACAACTTATCAAAGTGTAAACACACATCAATAAACAACGGAAGGAACTTTGCTCACGGTCAGTAAAACACACTTTCTTAAGAATCCCTGTTCCACTGCACGTTGATTTTTCCTATACACAGTAACCTCCCCTTATCCTCCGCTTGGATATATGGGGAGATATAACTGTAGCACCGTTTACGTATCGACAGGACAATTCTGTTGACCCGGTGACTTAGTGGGTAAGAGCAAGAGAATAACAATCTGAAGTCCTGGGTTCGAATCCCTGTCTAGCTCTGCTCAATTTTTCCATTCAGAAAACAGTTGTTGATTATATTTTGTTTATTTCATCTTTATTATTTCGCTTAAAAGTCCTGCAAGGTACAAATTTCTTTTCAGAAATGATTTATCAGGGGTATAGTTATGCCAGAATAAACAGCTTGCAATACTTTGTTATAGTGGTACAGTGAAATGTCATTATAAAGGGGTTGGTGGATATATTGAAGGAACAGCCCTGGAAAGAATATATATTGACGCTGAAAATATGCTGACGGTAAGTGAAGGGCAAATGATGGGTGTTATAGGTGATTTTAAAAGATGGTTTGTTTTCTAATAAATTTCAAAATCTTCTCTGCCCTATGTTTTCAGAAAATGGTTACCGTTTGGCGACAGGGAAATAAATCTTATCAAAGCCTGCCTCAATTTTGACCAACGGTTCCCAAGATAGAAACCATGTAGCCCAGAATGACAGAAATGGAAAAAATGAAATAAACGTTTACAGACTTTCTTCCCTCTCCACTGACAAACCATGATAACAAAGAATGTAGATATGTTGTGTTTCTTCAATGCTATATACACTATTCCTGTGTGGTCAGAGTTTTTACGTTTCTGTTTATATGTTGTGCGGGTCAATGATATTGATGAGAAATATGTCCGAGGCTGGGGGCACTGTTATACGGTTGTGATCGGTACCGCGAATACGTCTGATGTTTGGGGGGGCCGTATGTTTTGTAGCGGCGAGGATGCAGTGGCTAGGTTTATTATGTAATGGGTGCATTACACATCTAGCGGCTTACGTTAAAGACAGCTATTTAACGTGTATTGTATTCCATGTTTCTACGGGTCTGTTATCTCTCACGGCCACATGGGATCTGCTGCAGTCTTCAAGCTTTTGTTAGATCCGTTTCTGCTGAGGAGTAATGATGCCCTCGTCATATTGTTTTGATAAAACTTCAAGCCGGTCTGTTTTAGCTCTTAACAGCACAAGATAATAAAGGAATTCTAAACAATGCCATTGTCATCAAAATGAGAGCTGACACAATCTTTTTTTCAATAAATAAGATTTCCGTCTGGTCGACAAAACATCACATCCCTCTCCGGGCCTCTTCCCATCCCTAAAACATCCCTTAATCACAATCTCCCATCCCTAATGACCTTCACCCCTTCCCTACACAATAACCTTTTAACCCCACAAAAAGAACAGCAACGACCTGATGAAAGGTTCTTCTGAGCTGCTTTTAATAGTTTTATTATTTGTCCTCTTTTTCCAAACAAACATATGAACACTATATTTGACACAGAAACTTGATTCTTTCATCAAGGGCTTCGAATTTCCCGAAATTACCAGCTGCAAGTCACCCTGAATAACTAGGAGTTGAAATTTATTGGAGTTAATTCGCTGTTCGATGCTCCAGACTTCACGCTGTCCTGAGCTGGTATCTTCATCCCATTTCCAGTTCGACCTTT